TCAGTGGTTCTCAAAGTTAAGCAGTAGTCAAAATCATGAGATTATTAAAACATATATTGCTGGACCCTTTTCCCGAGTTTCTGTTTCAGTGGCTATGATTGAATACAGGATTTCATTTTCCAATTGGTTACTGGAAGAAGCTAATGCCTCTGGTCTGGGGTCCACACTTTTGGAATCATTGAATTATGTATTTAGTCTTTTTGTTGTTGTTGTTGCAGGATACTCGTCACATTGGCGTTTTTCCATTACTTTATCCAAATAGCTTCCATTCCATTTATATGAAGGAATTCTAAGGTCATCTGACTATGCATGAATAAGATACATGTAAATACAATTCACAAATCTTTATCAAAAATCACTTTAGTTAACTAGAAATTCAATGACGACAATATTTGGTGAGTAAATTATGAAGTATTGTTAGATTGTTTTTCAGGAGAAAGTTAATCACTTCTACTAGCATCAGTATATTAAAAAAGCAATTGTTTTACTTTTAACTTCAATGATTCACTTACATAACTTTAAGAATTTGAGACGTACAAAGGCATCTTTGATATAATAATTAGAAACAATGAAAAACTCTAAGTAGGCTAAATACTCATTTTATCTTTGTTTGAAGTATTTATTTAATGTTAGTATCATAATTTACAAGTATAGCCTTCCTTTTGCAAAATACCTATTTTCTGAGATCAAAGCTCTTTACTTCACTTCGTAATTATATGTAACAAAAAATTAGGAATTTCTTCACCAAAAACAATGAGCTAGAGACCAAATGACATTGGTGAAGATCAACAAAAGGGTAGTGTTTGAAAGTAACTTGATAATGACAATGCTAGGTATGCTAAGCTACTTGATTACACTATAATTTATAAATCCTCATTGGGATTTGACATCACTCAAGTTTCAAATGAATGGAATTGAAGCAAAGATGTCTCTAACATCTAAGAAACTGTACATGTCAGTTCAAGCTTCTCTTTATTTTGAAAAGTATAATATATAGATAACACCTTTACTTTTTAAAAATAGTGTTTTAGTTATCTTTATGTTTCAAAGAAATGTACAGATGATAGCTGTCACCAGGAGTAGAGTTTTATAGTGCTGATACAGTTTTTTTCATTTAAGTTTTCTAAAAATAATGTTTTCTTTTTAGTTGTTCCTGGGTCACAAGCAATATGTTAATAAAATAAAAATCCTTTTTTGAAAACTCAGCTGAAAATTAATTTTACTGTTAGTAACTTTTTCTTTAACAGAAATGTAAAGAGATGAGCTATGTTATTACATATACCTAAGTATGTAGGAGTTAATGCTTATGTATCCTATACACACAAATCTAGAACATGATTTTGCTAGTTTGCTAAAAACAAGCAAAGGGAATCCTAAAAAAGAACAGCTCTATACAGGTACTTTAAAAAAATCAATGAAATTTAGTTTTGGAATGTCAAAAAAATTGAAAAAATATGGTCTCATTGAACAAACAATAATGCCTTAATCTCAAGAATGTTTCTAATTCTGGGACTATTTCCCTTTAGACTATGATGCGCAAGATATTTAATTTTGGGATTGTGCTAGAATGGCCAACCATGATACTTGCCCAGGGTCAAAGGAGGATTATTTAGAGGTTATACAATAAAGATAGAGAAAAACAAAGTAAGTAATCAATAAGTTATAATAAGTTTCCTATTCAACTTCCTTTTGGAGCTGATATCTTTGAGATAGATGATATCTCATGAAAGAAAATTCTGATTTTTTATTTATATATTATTCTGACTACATAATATTGAAATTATCTTTATATAATTTCACATCTTCAAAGTGAAATTTTTAGTGCAAATGGCTCCCCCAGCATAACTTTTGGTTGACAAAAATTACCTTAAAAAAACAGACTGAATTGATGTTTGGACATTATTTAAATGCTCTGTTTTTGCTCAACATTGAAAAACTTTGAACAGGTAGATGAAGGGAACAATAGATTATATTTACACTGAATATTAAAGCTAGTTAGACATCTATAAAGTAAAATATACTTAAAATACCTAATGATATTTAAATTATTCAGCACTATCTGTGATTGGTAATAGTACATTAAAGGGTAAAACTGATTTGAACATTGAAATATAGTACAGGTTTCAGCCATTACATAAAAATGTCTCCAGCTTTAGTTTCTATAATAATAAACTGTACCTATTGAAAAATAAATGTGGAAAAAAGAAATAATTTTAACACAAATATGACTCATCTGTAGGAATTCATTTATTCCAATCCAGAGACCACGGTACATATGTTTGGATTACTGGATTTAAGTATGAAATATTTAAAAGGGAGTGGAGATCCTATTAAAACAGAAGGCTCCTCAAACTACAATGATGTCAGTAATATAGGTCCTTAGAGCACATTATTGTTTTAAGTGGAAGTCCCCACACTTTCACATTGGTTATAAAACATTATTTTGTGCTGCTGGCCTGGAATAAGAAAGTCATACATCTGCAGGCAATTAGAAGAAACTGGATTGCATGTTTGATTAGCTCAATAATAAACGGGCACAAGTGTGACTCGACTTAGGCTAGTCAGATTCCCTAGACAGATTATCCTGTTGTTATCATATGATATAACTCCCTTTTATCAACAATTAAGTATATCCACATTTATAGGCACTTTGCAAAATTGTATGGTTGGAAGAAATCCAATTTAAGCTTTAAGTCATCCAAAAAACTTTTAATCCAGCTTTGAATGATGTAGACCCCAACCCCATGCTTTAGAAATTGGATGAATTATGCAAAACAGTTTGGACTAGAGATACCCTTTTACCAATAGTCAATAAATATTTACTTAGCATCTATCATAAGCAAGACACTTAGTAATTTTAGCTTATAACTACAAAAATTCCAAAAGAACAATAAACATTCTAATACATGTAAAGTATCATTTTAAGAGAGACAATTTTGAAGAAAATTAAATAGGATTTATTATTGTTATAATTTTAGTTTTGATCCATGTTCAGCAATGCTCAGAGCTTACTCCTAACTCTGTAGTCAAGGTTCATTCCTGGTTTGGGACCTAATGGAGTGCCAGAAATTCAAGCCCTGGTACTCTGTGTACAAGACCCTATCTGCTATACTATTGCTCTGGCCCGGAATTTAATTTTTATTACTCAAATTTTATTTTATAGTTTCTATTGTAACCAATGCATATTATATGAACTTAGTCTTCTTCAAAACCTTCATTTGGTTCTAAGCACGGTTCTCAGATTTAACCACATTGTTTTATGGAAAATGAGCCATTAACTTATCTATTTTTTTCCTAATTACTTCAAAGTATTATATCTGAAATATGAAAACATTCATTATATAAAAGTTAGTACTTAAAAAATTTCAGCAAAACTTTTTGCTCCAGAAAATCACTACTTAACCTTTTAGTCTAATTATATATTTAAATAGCACAATTAAAAGTTAGTATCTTTTTTATACTTTTTTTTATACAAGGAGGATTTTTTATATCAATGTTGACTCAGATACATACTATATACAAAAAACCTCATGAGGTTGTATCCTTGACATAATCTTAAATATCTGAATATCAAGCAGATGCTGAAGCATTCATCATTGATATTGGAATTCTGACTCATGACAGTAACACAAAACAGATGCTAATACAATGCGCCCTCTGAAAAGTGACTCCATCACAGTATGAGTTAGCTCTTGATGTGGGGTACTTAAAATTTGAACACAAAGTGTAAAATAATGAAAGTCAGAACATGATAGTTTTCCTTACTTCATTTAAAAGCCACTTAAAATTTATGCAAAGATAGAATTGAATAGTGGTGAATAAGGGACACAGCATCCCTCTGAGTCAGAAGATGTTTATTTTATCTAGTGCACAGCTTAGGTGGTCCTGTTTGAATCATTCAATTCTAAGGGAAGAGACACTCTTTTCCTCACTCATAAGTAGGTAGGAGGTAAGAATTCCTATGTCCTTTCCACAGACTATTCACTGTGTAACAGTCACTTGTCTATAGTTTGGGGTCTTCTCTGTTAGCTCCTGACACTGAAAATGGGATCTGGAGCTCCTATGGCCCATTATAATTTTATAATCTCTAAATCAGATCTTGTAAAATGAGTTTATAAAGTAGAAAAGAGGGCACAGTGCACTTTGCTAATCCCTTAGCACAGTGCACTTTGCTAATATTGCACATCTTCAAAGCCCAAGATTCTTATCACTTTGCTAGTATGAGTTTACAGCTGTTTCTAGAATACACAGTGATGTGTACTCTTTGTGAAAATAAACAGAAAAACCCCAGGCAAACTGTGCCATGGTGTAAATGATAGAAATGATAAGTGCTCCAATGAAAAGTTTAAAAGAGAGATATATGTGAGCAGGAGAGAATCCCTTAGAGGTAATAAGAGACTCTCAATGCCTGAGAGAAAAAAAAAGTTAGTGCCAGTTTCAGTGAAAGAAACCTTGAGAAACCAAGTGGGACATTTATGGATAGCTTGATAGCACAATCTCAAATTCCAAATGAATAAATTGACTACTACTTCTGATTACTCTCATTCTGGTCCTGCCTGCCTAGGCCTGAAAGCTGTTTTTCTTCATGTGAATTTTGGTTCTGAAACTTGGCAGCTGATTGGAGCCACTTGGGGAGCCCTGAAAAGTCCTGATGCCCAGAACTCACCTCCAGCAGCTGCTATTTAGTTGGGTTGGGTGTGGTTTGGATATCAGAAAGTTAAGAAAGCTCCCAAGTGGTTTTAAATATGTGCAACTAAGAATGAAAACCACTGACGAACTCTTTGAGCTAGTTTCCTTATCTGTAAAATAATGATGATAATTATGTTTCAGCAATTAAATGAGAGTAATTTTAGGATTATTGCAATGATTTATGTGTGGTGTTTTCTAGGTGTCCCCCAAGTGCTGATGGGAGGGGTTCACAATAATAATAAAATGTGCACTGTTTTCATCCTCACCATGAAGTATACTTAGGTAACGTTAACATAACAAGTTATGCTTACCTTGGCAGGCATTATGCTCACTCTGCTCAAAGCCTGAGGCACACTGGATCCCATCAGGATTGGAGGGAATGCGCTGAGATTCAGCTGGGTTTCTCCGAAAGACAAAATTATTTCGGCCAGTTTGTACTTCAGGGCCTGCAACTGCAGCAGCACTGGCAACAAAACCACCCCCAGGCATCACTCCACTGGTTGCCATGCCAGTGGCTGAGACACCTCCGGAGGCTGTGCCTGAAGTTGCAGCTGCGTTTGCTGCTGCACCCACGGTTTCTGCTGCAGGTACTTCCTGTTGAGGCTGTTCATTATTGACAATAATCTGGGCTGTTTTAGGAAGGCAGAGGTATCCTCCATAGTGGTTGACACATTTCATGCCACCTTTGCAAGCATCTGGGACAATGTCACATTCGTCAATATCTATGGTCAGTAATAAAAGAAGTCAGTAATTTTCTGAGGAGGAGAACTTACCATGTCAAAATATATGATTTGTCTTTTTGTTATAATTCAAGTGGGAAAGGAAGAATGACACAAGACATGGAGAGAGAAAGCTATTTTCAAATTGGCTTACCTTTGCACTGCTGTCTTACAGGATCCCACTCGTAGCCATCCGTGCATTGCTGTGAAGAGAACATGAAATATGTGGTCAAAAAGTGTTAATTAGTATGCTATTCCCTAAGAAATGACTCTAACAGTTTTGTTTTTGTGGCAAAAATTTTTCTCTCAAATCATAGATAGATAGTGAGATGGATAGTTGAACAGCCTCTTGCTTTCCAAATCTATGCACTAAACACTTTTGGTGTTTGCAAGAGAGCTATTTTCAACTTCTTTAACTTACCAGCTGTCTCATTTTCTCTATTGTATTTAGTGTACTTACCCATCACACTTCTTGAAATTATTTTCTATCTTGTTATTAACCACTTCAATCAATCTTTGATTTGTCTCACCCTCTTCCTCCTCCTGCTTTAGTTACTCCTTCTTTTCCATTTAATAATAACAACAACAAAATCAACTAATTTTTTTATCCCCCTTGCTTGGATTCTTTATTTTTTATTTATTTTTAATTTTTTTATTGAATATCTGTGAGATAGACCATAACATTGCTGTTCATGATTTGGTTTCAGTCAAACAATGATCCTACACCCATCCCTCCATCAGTGTATATTTCCACCACCAATGTCCCCCATTCCCTCTCTCCATCCCCCAGTACTCCACTCCACACCCCGCAGCCTCCCACTATTCCCTCTATTTTTGTGCATTATGATTTGAAATACAGGTACTAAGAGTTCATCATGTTTATTCAGGGCATTCAGTATTTTCATCCAGACACTAAGAGTAGAGTTGCTTTTTAAAGGGTGGCAGCTTTGGGGTGATGGTGTGACTGCCGAGGCTTCTGGAAGTACTGGAAGGTGGGGGAAGATAGTTCATCCTGACCCTGAGATTTGGAGATTTCAGTCACAAAACCTGCACACTCGAATTTTCAGAAAATTATATTTCAGTGAGGTCTGTCTTGAGACGGTGGGTTGAGGACAGGGGCATGGTGGTGCTCTTGGATTGTGAAAGCAAGTGACTGCTGGGAGCTCTTCCTGGACAGGCACCAGGCTAACCCACTCCCCCAACTAAGGTCTTTTTAATTTTTGACACACACACACACACACACACACACACACACACACACACACAGTCTTTCTTTCTCTCTCTCTTTTCTCCTCCCCTCCCATAATTCCCTCCCTCCCCCCCACTCATGGAACATTCTTGCAACTTAACTTCCTTATCATTCTTAACCTGCTGAGTTTTATGTTTCCCTTAGACACTGGTCTTTTTTCACACTTCAATTTCTACATGTATCTCTTCTTTACTCACTGAACAAACCATCTATCAAGTAACTTCTTTCTTGTATTGTTGTTTCTGTTTTGGGGCCACATCCATTAGTGCTCAGAGCTTACACCTGACTTCATATTCAGGTATCACTCCTAAACATGGTCTGGGTCAGCTACATGCAAGTCAAGTGCATTATCCTTGTACTATATCTATGACCCTGAAGTAACTTATACTAGGCAGCATTTCAGTATCTAAGTCTCAGGGAATGCAAAGATCATGAAGACCTTGTTCCTGTTCTCATGTAACTAACAGGTCCATAGAAAAGGCTGGAAGATGTCAAGTTGGAACTGGATTTTAGGTGCCATAACATAATGAAAATGATGACAAATTCTGCCTGACACTGTGAGGTTATAAAATAGGCTGGAAAAGAGGATTTTATAGGGGAGACCACAAATTAGTTTGGGTGGGGCTTTTAGGGAGACAGGGATTCTAACAGGGAGACCATATGTATGAATATGCAAATTGTTAAAGAGGGAAGGAGCTGTGAGTGGTTTTAGTGCTTCACACTGAGATCTGAGAGGCAGGCAGGACCAAATGTAGAAAGTTTTGTTTTTTGACATGTAGGAACTGAATTTTGCCCTGCAGGTCAATGAATAACAAATTTTATAATGTTTGAGAGTGCAGCCCAGGGCTGGAGCGATAGCACAGCTGTAGGGTGTTCGCCTTACAAGCGGCCAACATGGCCGACCCGAGTTCGATTCCTCTGCCCCTCTCGGAGAGCCCGGTAAGCTACGGAGAGTATTTGATATGCCAAACACAGTAACAACAAAGTCTCCAATGGAGACGTTACTGGGCCCGCTCGAGCAAATCGACGATTAACGGAAGGGCCTTTTGAGAGTCAACTAGCATGAGTATTATAATGTGGACTTCTGAAATCACCCAGATGATCTGTTCAAAGTTCTGGGTAAAGGCAGGGGGCAGGGTATGAGAATTCCTAATGAGCATCTCAAGTGATTATGATTCAGGTCCTATGGACTCTTTCTTGAGAAATATAGTTATAAGTGATAAGGAAACCCTGAAGAATTTTTAAGCTCAAGAAAATATTTGGTCAGACACAGATTTGAGGAAGATGATTCAGGGAGGGTTGAACAAACGTAGAATAAACCAACAAATAAACTTAAATTCACTTAATAAAGAGTTGCTTCAGCACACAACAGATGTTTGGCAAGTAAAGACCTGAATGAAGACCAAGAGATCAGTTTAGGTATTTACTGATATCTGAAACTTAATAAAGTACAAACAAAACTCACTTTAATCTCCAAACTAATTCTTCTACTCCCCTTAGCACTGCCCAAGGTATTAACACCTTTCTCAGGCTCAAGATTACAATGTTATTATCAACTTTTCCCAAAAATTTCCTCCAACATCTTCTGATTTGGTGGCCATTTTTATATCTAGCTGCAGTGATAAAAGTATTTGGCCTTTTGAGTAAGCAAGGCTCTTCAGCTATTCATTTCTTTACCCTTGCACACAGATTCCATGGCAAATTTTCTTGTTCTCTTGGTAATATAAGGACATCTAATATTTTTCATCTGATCTCTTGAACATCTCTCATTGTTAACATCTCTCATGCTATTAACGTGTCTAAATTCTTCCCACTTTCCAGTTTTAGTCCATTTGACCTTGTTACCTCCTGGACTTGACATTTATTTTCACTTCTTTTGCTTTTGATTATGCCAGTATTTCTGACTCAGCAGCATGGTCTGTCTTTATAGATTAGTCCAAAGTCATCTCTTCCGTTAAGAACCAGAATAGATATCTATCTCCTTTAATAGTCAGTATCAACATTATTAATCTCTTTGTCTCTCAACAGTATTTTCAAGTATTTTCCAGAGAAAATTACCCAAATTTAAGATCTGTTTTATTAGTAAACAAATAATCTTAAATCATATTTTATTTTATTATTTTTTTTAAGAATCAACAAAGTTTTTATTAAAGTACCACTACACCTGAGGTGAGACATTCATAGCAACAAAATACTAAGAATAGAGTTAGTATTGTACTTTCATCATTTAATTATACAAATCAACCTTACAGAAAATCAGTAAGGGAACCAGAGCTTTGAAGGAGAAACTGGACAAGCTGAGTTAAAAGGGCGTGTAAAAGGCAGGACCAGAGAGATAGTCCAGCAGGCACAGTGCTTGCCTTCTGTGTGGCCAACCACAGCATCCCTTATGATCCCTTTACGAGAACTTTAATGTTTGTATTTCTTGAATATGCAATAGAATAGGAAAGAAGCAAGTTTCTTAACAGAGTGTATGATAGCATATCCTTCAAAGTCTATAAGCTGACAGATTTTTCAATAGCTACTAATAAAAAAAACAGAGTATCATATTGCCTTCTAATCACTAATGATTAGTCATAAAAGATTAAATCATATTTTAATAGTAGTTAGAATTGCTTATTCATATAGCAAATACTTGACAAGAAAATAGCTAAAAAGAACTGATATATGATTTTATTTTATGTTTTATTGAGGTAAGATTATGTACAGGATTTCACGTGTTTTAGGAGTTCTATTTCAAATATCCTTGAAGTATATGTTACAACACAACCCAATATCAAACTACTAATATGCCTGCCTGCTATTCATATCTTCTAAAAAAGTAACTTTTAAGTTAGACAAAATAAACATTCACTTGAGTAATTCAATGGGCTATTAAAGAGTTGCAGTTTGTTGTAGGTATTTTGTTCCAGCACATTTAACATAGTTCTACAATTAAGCAAGCCTAGACTGAACTTAACTTTACTACTTGCTGGCTGTGGAGCCTTATATAAATTAAATACGCTACCAGCAGCTAAAGATGATGCTACTTACCTCATACCTTGGTGTGAAGATACAAAGAGAATCTCCACAGTGAAATACTTAAAAAAATGGTGACTTATTGTTCTTTAATACAAGTTATAAAGCGTATTCAATTAATCTTAAAAAAGACTTAATCTTAGTCCAGATTTTTTTCCTGAGAAATCTGTTATAAAAATAGTGAATCCTGGTTAGGGTTCTTAATTAATATTGTGGTGTTTAATGTGGTGTTTAACCTTTTCTCTTAAGATGTAAGATGTAGATGATTAGTAATAGGAGAAGAACATAAGGTAAATATTTGTAAAACTATTAGATGATATGGACAGGGATAGCTAATATAATTTTCATTCATTATAAAGGTTGTTAGTGGGGCTGGAGCTATGGTAGTGGGTAGGATGCTTATCTTGCATGCTGCCAATCTAGGTTTGATCCCTGGTATTCCATAGAGGTCCCCTGAGCATTAGCAGGAGTAATTCCTGAATGTAGAGCCAGGGCGTGGCCCAAATTACCTCTTCCCCCAAAAAAGTTTGTCACTATGTGTAACTTAATGACAAAACATTTTCATTCAGAGATAAACATCATATTCTTCATTTTTCTTGTATATTTCTCTTCAATAGAGGAAGAAACTTCTTATGTTAAACACTATTTAATTTATAATTAATATGCACACAAGGAATATTTGCCAGGTAAATATTAATATTCTAGGAATAATATGGTTCTCCAAAATTGAGACATTTATTACCAGTAATTGACATTAGCATATATCCAGAACTTATTAAAAAAACAGCCTCTCGAGCAAATTGATGAACAACGGGAGGACAGTGTACAGTGCTACAGTGCTATATTCTTTCAAGTGAGTTTACTTAATTTTAAATTTTAAGCAATTTTAATTTCTTAATTTCTTTTAATTTCTGGTCCCATACAAATATCGTTTGCCTGCCAAATGGATGGAAGTCTTAAAATAAAAAAACAGAGGTACAAAATCACCAATAGTTAGTTAAGTGCAGCATTTAGTTCTTAACCACATCCATTACTAGCAGTGTGTATCTGTGTGAGGGGTGCTGATGATATTTTAAAAATTTCATAAAAAAATGTTTATGCTGTACAATTAACTAATTGAATTTATTCTGAAATACCAGATATGCTAATCTAAAATTTTAGATACCATATTTTAAAACCACTTTAGTATATAGCATATCCTGTTACCAGTTATTCTATAAATGAACATAGTCTTTACAAATTCCATAAAGGTCACTAATATATAAGTTCCATGCACAAATAAGATGTGTGTTTCTGATGCTTTACATTCTTATTTGACTTGGGTCTCACTCTATATTTTTGGTTTTAATCTACATGTGTTTTAGTAATCTAGGCCTTTCAATTCTTTACAGCCATTAAATTAGTGAATGTGTTGAAAGTATGTAGCTTACTTCGGCTTTTGCTTTAAGAGTTCCCCTTTTGGGTCTTCAGAAATCATCACGTTTTGGTTCTCATCTCAATCAAACACTAAAACATAACTCCGGGAGCAATGTCCCCCCCCTTCCAGCAGAATACCTGCACCTCCAAGCTCCTTCCTCTTATTTAATCCCCAATTTAAAAAGTCTCAAATCTCAATCTTAGTGAACTTTTGGAAGAACCAAGGCAATTTACAACTGATCTTCAACGTGAACCATACTAATGTGTTTTTTTTTTTAATGTCTCACTATCCACAGAATACAGCCCACGTAGACTGGCAGGGCTGGACAAAGTCTCCTTTGTGTCACAGAATCCCCTGAACCGCACTTATCTCAAATTCCATCGCCCCTTACCGTATATGTGATGGTTTCTTCGGTGTCCTGTGACATGACCAGTGCCAGAGTCAGCATTGTTAAGAAAAGAGTTTTCAACATCGTGAATCTCAAAGAAAAAAAAACAGGACAACCCTTTTTAGCATTTGAGGAGGTGTGGTGGTGTGGGCCCCCATAACAAAACTTGAGCAGTAGGTAAGCAGCACGGAAGGGAGGGGACTGGGGGCTGAAGCTCCTGAGTTACCCAGGTTCCGATCTACCTTCTTAGCCCCAGCCCAGCCCCCTTAGATCGTTCTCTTCCTCAGCTTTCCCTTTGCCCAAAGACTGGCTGAGGAATTGCACTTTCCTTTCCTTTACTCTAACAGGCTGCACTTAATAGATACAAAGAACACAGCAGCTTGGATCTTACACTGCACCTATACAACAGGCTCCAAAAGGGATGGAAAGGAAAGAACAGGATAGTTCATTTCAAAGGAAATGGTACATGTTTTCTTTTTGTGGAGACGGAGGTGGGGCAATGAACCTCATATTCTCTTGAACATTAAGATTTTCCCTAAAAATTCACCTCCAGTTAGTGAAAGTCTTCACTAACTGAAGAGCTTCAGCAGAAAGACCTGGGAGCCTGGGAATCAACATAAATTGCCTTGGACTCAAACTTCAAACAAACTTCAAACACTAAAACATAGCTCCGGGAGCAATCCGCCCACCCCCACTCCCACCGCCCTTTCTAGCAGAAGACCTGAGCCTCAGAGCTCCTTCCTCACATTTAATCCCCAGTTTAAAAAATCTCAAAACAGCATCTGCACATCTTTCCCGAGCGCAGCTTTGTTTTAAAGTTCTAGGTTGCCCGAAGGAGTAGCCCAAGGCGCCTGCATTTCCCTCTGCCTTCTGCGCCCCGACCTTCAGGATCCTGGCTTCTTAGGGTCAGAAACCGGGAATGGTGCAGCAGCCCAGGGTTCTAGTTTAAGAGGTAGTCCGGCATCCGTCCCCCAAGGAATAGAGAGCCCCCTCCCCCCAAGCCCCTACCCTCAAATAGTAGTCCTCGGGAGCAGCTCAAGGCTCCAGTTTCTCACCAGCCCTGGAATCCAGGTGCGACTTAAATCCTGCACACTGACCCCCTGAAACAATCAAGCCTCTTTCAGGGGCAAAGCCCCTTAGGCTGATCGTTGGCGCGCACACACACGCCACTCGCAACAGATGTCATTCCAGGACTCGCACATGCTGACAGATCGCATTCCTAGACCGCACACCTCCACCTCCGTTTCTGCCTGAGGTCTTGCATAGTCCCCGCAGTTCCTGAGTGCATAGCACCGCTCAGGTCACCCCACCTATTACCCGGCGCGCGGCCCAGTGGGCACCGGGCAAGCGGGTGCTGACTTGGCCTCGGGGGAGGCGAGGGGGAGAGAGGGGGGCTCCTACCTGCGCGGCTGCGCTGCACTCCAGGCCGGGGCAGCTAGGGGAGAGCGCAGGGGAGGGCAGGCTGGTGGGTCTGAACTGGCGAGGTCTGGCAGTACTCGCGGCTGCTGAGAGAGGAGGAGGAGGAAGGGAGGGAAAGGGGGAGGGCGAAGGGGGGCGGAAGAGCGAGTTGAGGGAGGCGCAAACAGAGCCCAGTGCAGCAAGCTGGCGGGAGAACAAGCCCGGCCGCTGCGTCCGCGCCCCCTCCCCTCAGTCCTCTTTGCCAGCCTCTAGCCCCGGGTTTCCAGATCAGCCTGAATCCCAGGTGGAGAGAACACGTCTGACTTCTTGCGTCCGGGGCTTGGGTTAGTCTTGGGACCTGATGCCCCAGTGTCTGTACTGACTGGAGATTGCCTTAATCTGCGGGGGGAGGAAATATCTCTTCCAGAGAGCTCTGAGCATCCTGGAAAATCTCTTTTAAAATTCAAAACAAGTAAATGAAACCCCTCAATAATCTTTAGCATAGTAAATGAAACCGGTACTCAGACCTGGTGATTTCACCGCCCCTCCCCGCACACACTTACTTTTGGAGGGGAAGTGGTTGAGAGGAGTCAGCTATCTTCTGGAAAGGTAGTAAAAAGAGCATCCATTCAGCAGAGATTTATTCTGACCTACTATGTGCCTGGTGTTGGGAATAGGTTAATTAAGTAGACCTCACTAAACTAAACCTTAACTAAAATAGGGAGGTCTTATTTGTTTCAGACTCTCAACCCCTTCCTTTTTATAGGACCCTTTTTCTCATCTACTGATTTTTCTTTCCACTAGTCCACTTGCTGGAGTTCCAATATTGGTCATTTAAACTTGGCATTTCACTCTCACCTTTTATATAAGGATGGAATTTCAAGAATTTGGAGAGAGAATTTTCTTTAAATCATACCACCCATATGGCAGTTATCTTTGAAGGCTACAACTTTAATGTTAGATTAAAAGTTTGCTCCCAAGGCAGTCATGTCTTTTAAGAAGCAAATGCCAAATATAATTTCATGATTGAGACAATGTGCCAGCTGAAGATATTCAAAACTTTGACTCAAGGAGGGAAACAGGAGAAAGGCTCCCTTCACTTTCCCGCAGGAAGAAAAGAGAAGCTGTCAGATCAAAACCTCTCTCTTTATCTCTGGGATACAGAGTGGGTTACCCAAACCAAGACAATTTGGTAGCAAGCCACACAATATTAACAAAATCCGAGATCCATGACTGAACTTTGCTTGACTATATGGGATTTTTCCAATATTGTTAAATTTTTACTACCAAAATTTGAATTAATTTGCTTTCTCATTTATTAATGACCTTTTAAACCAAAAGGGAATCTGTATATAATTGAATTATGTTATAAATAATCATATATTATATATCACTGTCACTGACATATATCACTGTCACTGTCTTCCCATTGTTCATCGATTTGCTCGAGCGGGCCCAGTAACATCTCCATTGTGATTGTTACTGTGTTTGGCATATCGAATACATCACGGGTAGCTTGCCAGGCTTTGCCATGCAGGCGAAATACTTTCGGTAGCTTGCCAGGATCTTCGAGAGGGGTGGAGGAATCAAACTCGGGTTGGCCATGTTGGCTGCGTGCAAGGTAAACGCCTGTATATAATATATACTAAAAATATAAAATAATGCATACATATGTTATATTTTGTACATGATATATAATAAAAAGATCTGTCCAGACATTTTTTTCCTTTGTGAACTCTTTTTCAACTGCTGATTTGTTATATTTATTTGAACACCTTATGGACTAAATTTGTTAAGATAAATATGTCACTGATTTTCATCTTCTCTCACAATCTACTATACTCTCTAGCTTTCCTGTCTCAACTAATAGCGATCTTATTTTTTCCTTTGGTAAGATCCAAGGTTATGGCATTATCCTTGATTTCTCTGTTTCTTACACCTTCTATTCAATTCTAGATAAATCCCTCTTGGTTCTATGCTCAAAATATATCCAAAACAGATCACCAGGCTAAATCAAATAACTTTTAGTTTCTTAAGAAATCTCCATGCTGTTTTTCATAGATGCTTTGCCAATTTACATTCCCATCAACAGTATACAATAGTTCCTTTCTCCTTCATACTGTTTCCAATTTTTGTTGTTTGCAATCTTTTTTGATATAGGCCATCTTCACAGTGGTGAGGTAATAACTCCTTATAGTTTTGTTTTGCATTTCCCTAATAAGTGACATTAAGCATGTTTTCATGTCCCTGTGATCCATCTGTTTGTGTTCTTTGAAGAAATGCCTGTAAGGTCATTTGGTCATCTTTTGATTAAGTTGCTTGCTTTTTTGTTGTTGTTAAGTTGCATGTATTCCTTATATATTTTGGATATCACCTACATTGTCAGACATGACATGCAAATATTCTCTTGTAATAGGTTGTCTTTTCATTTTTGTATTAATTTTTGTTGTTGTGTAAAGTTCTTTTAATTTGATATATTGATTTTTTTAAGTTCTGGCTTTTATTTCCCTTGCCAATGGAGTTGACTCTCCAGTTAGACTCAATTTATATCATATAGTGCATCACTTACATTTTCTTCTATGTATCTTAGGTTTTCTTTGGTAGATAACTTCTTATTCTTTTATACTATTTTATGATATTTCAAACTTTCTTCTCTGTAGTTAAACTTCTCTAAGTTTATTAAGTTACATAATGATGTTTTTTCTTTTTCATTATCTGTCTTTAAATTTGTTTTGGGGGGTGAAGAGATAGTACTGTGGATACGATGCTTGTCTTTCACATGGCTCTCCTGGGTTCAGTCCCCAGCACTGCTTATGGTACCCTGAATCCAGTCACTGGCACTTCAAATTCCTGGCACACCCTGAGCGTACCAGGAGTGATTCTTGAGTGCAGTGCTAGGATTAAGCCCTGAGCACTGCCAAGTGTGACCCCACAACAACAACAAACCCAACCTTAAAGCAAAATTTGCCTCCTGGCTAATTTATTTTTAAAATAAACTTCTCATTTTACTTGAGTTATTCATTCTTACTTATATAACTGGCTCCACAAATTTTCTGCACATGCTTTTGTGCTAGCTGATTTTGTTCTCCTGCATATGTTATTGCAGTTTTAGCATTGGAATCCTCTTTTGTATGAAGGTCATGAATGGGGTGGGGGTAAGGATGATGTTGTTGACAACTCTGATTGAGCACTGTTGTTAGTGGAGTATAAGAGGAACCATCAGGAGGGAGAATTTCATATTGTCTTGCACTTCCGTAGTCACCCCTGGATCTTATTCCAGTTGGTTATTTTCTACTTCTGAAGAGAGGGTAGACAAAGTGATAGGGAAGGACACTTACCCGGTCTAGCTTCCACTGGCCTAAAATACCAGCACTTGGCCTTATTTATTTTGGGCTTCAGAGTTGTATTTCTGCCAACAGTACAGCTTTTCACCCAAGTCTAACAGTTAACTGATATTATGGAGTATTATTTTCCTATTCCAACAAGGGTAGGTCAACCAATAATAAAAACAGTGGATAGAGTTGAAGATATGACACAAAGGAAAGGCATTTGTCGACATGCAGCCAATACTTGTTAATCTCCAAGCACCACCAAAAGTAATTTCTGAACATAGATCCTGTACTAAACCCTTAGAACTGCCAAGTGTAGGCCACCTTCCTCTCTGGTGGAAAACAACAACAATGCATACTGCCATGTTATGATCCAATTATCTTCGCGAATTGAGCTCACATTTTTACTCTGTACCATGGTCACCTATATTTCCTATATTTAGATGTATTAAATGATATGTCTCTAATGCAAGTCAGGTTGTTAGGCCTTTTTCTGTGGTATGAAGGTGATTTCTGGTTGTATTTGAATGGGAACCCTGCTTATTAGCATTTACTCTGCAATTTTCAGAAGTCCTTTAAAAAATGTGTTCTTCCAGTTATTGCCTTTACTTTTAAATGATCTTGATATTGTCGTTTTTTTTTTTTAATTTTTCAGTCACATCCGGCAATGCACAGAGGTTACTCCTGGCTCTTCACTCAGAAAATACTTCTGGCGGTGCTCAAGAGACCATATGGGATGCTGGGAATCGAACCTGGGTCAGCCGCGTGCAAGGCAAACACCCTACCCACTGTACTATCACTCCAGCCCTGATATTGTCTTTTGAGAGAAAATATTTTAATTTTGATAAACAAATTTATTCATCTTTTTCCATTTATGTTTTGTCCTATTAAAAATATTACCTTGGGGAATATTTTAAGCCTCCTAAACCTCAGTTTATGATTATGAAAAATGGAATGGATGACACTTTCTGCTTCTTACGGATGTTATGAGAATTGAGTAAGAAGTTTGTGTCAAATATCCAATACATATAATTATTCTTAGATATTAGATGTATATTGTTTGTGAACCATTTTTTCATCTTAAGGGAATCTAACATATTTTATCATTTCTACTTCTAACAATGAAATTTATTTATCCTAACTAGTTTACAATGAGGAGATTAATAATGGTATTCTCTGTAATTACTTTAGGGAAAATCCATTGTTTTCACTTTGGATCAGTCAGAATTGATTCTTTTCCGCCATCACAGGAAAGACTCTCCAAAAGCAGAAGAGAACAGCAGAAGAGAACAATGAAACCCATTTCTTCTTTTGCCACTGACATTCATGCTACAGTCCTCAAGTAGGTAAATAGGTGTGAGCAACAATGTAATAAACATTGCCCATGGCTAACAAACAGGAATAACCTGGATATTTGATGGATTGTTCACAGGAAGTACTGACCTAGGGCTCAATTTGTTTTCACTGATATAATGTTTCAATTTTTAAACAATAAGACAAAAATAAACAGAAAATTTCAACCTGGATTATATTCATCTTTATACAATTGTAGTTGTAAAATATAATTTATAAAGGCAAAAAGTGCCAACAAACCACAATAATCATGACCCTGATTGTTAAACTTCCAAATCAATCAAATTTAATCTTGGGTCTAACAGTGTGTGTGTGTGTGTGTGTGTGTGTGTGTGTGTGTGTGTGTGTGTGTGTTTGTGGCCACCCCCAGCTATATTCAGGCCTTACTACTGGCCCTGAGCTCAGGAACCACTCCTGGAGGGCTTGGGAGACCATATGGAGTGCCAGAGACTGATCCTGCAACCTTCCCTCCATTATCCTAACCACCCCTCGAGACTGCCCCATAGCACTATAGCACTGCACTGTCATGTAACACTGTCTTCCTGTTGTTCATTGATTTGTTCTAGCGTGCTTCATTGATTTGTTCTAGCGTGCACCAGTAACGTCTCCA